GAAACAAAGTCTTTGCAAATAGGGAAGGGTGGAGGGGGTGAAGGCAGGGCAGGGGAAGGGGAAAAATAAGAATCAAGATACATCATGGAAAGGTACAAGATCCTAATAATGAATGTAACTGTATTTTATACCTAAAATGTACCAATAAACTTAATGGGAGAAAAAAAATAAATGTAATACTCTATATTAACAGAGCCAAGGACAAAAACCATATGATCATCTCAATAGATACAGAAAAAGCATTCTACAAAATTCAACACCCATCCATGATAAAAACCCTGCAGAAAATTGGAATAGATGGTCTTTATCTCAACTTGATAAAGGCCATCTATGAAAAACCAAAAGCCAACATTATACTAAAGGATCAAAAACTGAAAACCTTCATGCTAAAATCAGGAAGAAGACAAGGATGTCCACTATCACCACTCCTGTTCAATATAGTTTTGGAAACATTAGCCACAACCAGTAGGCAAGAGAAAGAAATAAAAGGAATAAAGATAGAAAAGGAAGAAATTAAACTGTCATTATTTGCTGATGATATGATACTCTACATAGAAGACCCAAAAAAATCTTGCCAAAAGACTTCTAGACTTAATTGACAGATTCAGTAGAGTAGCTGGATACAAGGTAAGCACTCAAAAATCAAAGAGAAATTAGGGAAACAATCCCTTTCACAATAGCATCCAAAAACCCCCAAAAGAAATATCTAGGAATCAATCTAATGAAGGAGGCAAAGACCTCTACATTGAGAACTCCAACACTCTGAAAAAAGAGGTCAGAGAGGATATAAGAAAATGGGAAAACATCCCTTGTTCCTGGGTAGGAGGAACCAATATAGTGAAAATGGCCATACTTCCAAAACTGCTATACAGATTCAATGCAATTCCGATTGAAATCTCAACAGTATATTTCACAGTATTAGAGAAAACAATCCAAAAATTCATCTGGAATCAGAAGAGACCTAGAATAGCAAAAACAATTCTAGGCAATAGAGACATGGCAGGGGGTATCACAATCCCCAAATTGAAACTATATTACAAAGCCACTGTGATAAAAACAGCATGGTACTGGCAAAGAAACAGACCCAAGGATCAGTGAAATAGATTAGAAGATGCATAAACAACTCCAGACATACTCAGCTACCTCATGTTTGACAAAGGAGCCCACCATCCTCACTGGAGGAAAGATAGCCTTTTTAATAAATGGTGTTGGAAAAACTGGATTTCAACCTGCCAAAGATTAAAACTAGACCCCTATCTTTCACCATGCTCTAAACTAATATTGAAGTGGATTAAATATCTAAACACTAAAACAGAAACACTAAACTTGCTGGAAAATAAGTTAGCTAGAACTCTTGAAGACATTGACATAGGGAAAATCTTTATGAACAAATCCTCAGTAGCACAGGAACTAGCACAAAGAATCAACAAGTGGGATCTTGTCTTATTAAAAAGCTTCTGCCCTGCAAGAGAAACCACCAACAGAGCTAAGAGACAACCCACAATGTGGGAAAAATTTTTTTAGCAGCTGTACCTCAGACAAAGGTCTATTATCTAGAATATACAATCAACTCAAAAAAATCAGAGCCCCCAAATATAAATACCCAATTGAAAAATGGGCATCTGAAATGAACAGACATTTCTCAAAGAAGTGAAAGCAGCAAATAAACGTATGAAAAAACGTTCAACATCACTGGTCATTTGAGATATGCAGATGAAAACAACACTGAGATTCCACCTCACCCCACAAAGAATGGCTGCTATCAAGAAATCAACCGATAACAAATGCTGGAGGGGTTGTGGGGAGAAAGGAACCCTTCTTCATTGTTGGTGGGTGTGCAGACAGGAGCAACCACTGTAGAAATCAATATGGAAATACCTCAAACAACTAGGATTGGAAGTCCCATTTGACCCAGCTATTCCTCTTCTGGGTATCTTCCCAAAAGAATCATACCACAGTGATATATGCTCACCCATGTTTATAGTGGCACAGTTTGTAATAGCTAAAACTTGGAAACAGCTCAATTGCCTATCAACTGGAGAGTGAATAAAGAAGATGTGTGTGATTTTTAAAAAATAAAATGGAGTACTACTCAGCCATAAAGAATGAGAAACTAGAGACATTTATAGCTAAGTGGATGCACATTGAGGCCATACTCTTAAGTGAAATAAATAGGGCACACGTGTAAATACTGAATAGTTTCTCTTGTGTGAAAAAGAATAATAGAGTAAATAACGATCCAAATGTATAAGTAATATTGTGAAATAGGAAGAAAATGTCTAAAGGAGTAGGGGAAGTGGGAGGGGTAGGGGAAAGTAAAGAAGGGAAAAGAAAAAATATGAGAAAAGGAAAGCATGGAAACAAAGTCTTTGTAAATAGGGAAGGGGTGGAGGGGGTGAAGGGAGGTCAGGGGAATGGGGAAAAAATAAGAACCAAGATACATCATGTAAAGGTGTAAGATTCCAATGATGAATGTAACTGTATTATATACCCAAAATGTACCAATTAACTTAATGGAAAAAAACAGGCTAAATATCATTTATCATTAGAGAATTGTAAGCTGAAACAATAATGAAGTACTACTGTACACCTATTAGAATGGCTAAATTTTTTTTTTCTTTTTTTTTTTTTTTTGTGGTACCGGGGATCGAGCTCGGGTCCTTACACTTGCGCAGCAGGCGGTGAAACTACTGAGCAAAATCCCCGGCCCTAGAATGGCTAAATTTTTAAACACTGACAACACCAACTGCTCTGTAAGGATATTGAACAAGCAAAGGCAATTCTCAGTCATTCCTGGTGGGAATGCAAAACTTTGCAAGACAATTTGATAGTTTCTTTCAAAGCTAAACACTATCTGTATATGTTGTGGGTTGAACTTTTTCCCCACAGGTTATGTTAAAGTGCAAATCCTAGTACCTGTGAAAGTGACCTTATTTGGAAATAAGAACTTTGCAGATGTAGCCACGTTAATGTGAGATTGTACTGGATTAGGTTGTGCTCCAAATCCTATGATGATTGTCCTTATTACAAAAAGGAAACACAGAGGTATAGAGAGACACAGACCCACTGAAAAGGAAAATTGCACTGTGGAGATGGAGGCAAAAACTGGAATAATGAATTTATATAGCAAGGAGTTATGAGTAGGAACAGAAGAGGAAAGGTTCTTTCCCATGGCCTTCAGAGGGAGCACAGTCCTGCTGACAAGCTGTTTTCAGACCTCTAGTCTCCAGAACTATGACAAAATAAATTTCTATTATTTTAAGCCACCTGGTTCTGATAATTTATTATAGCAGTCCTAGCAAATGAATGCATCCTACAATCTTGCTATTGTGCCTCTAGGTGTTTACCCAACTGGTTCTGAACACTTGGGTCTCCTTATCAGCAAGCCACATCATTCAAATGTTTTCCCAGAGTGATGCTGAGCCATCTACAATAGACCACATGACTCTCCAGAAGCAAAACCAAGGAATAAGAACAGACATCTGGGAGTAAGGGTGCTCTCCAGTGTACAGTCTCAGCACTGCCTAAGGCTCCTTATACCACTGAGATTCCATCAACCTGGGAAATCACTGCAATCCTCAGGATGACCTACAAATCATCCAGCCTTCTCTATTTTGACTAAAGAAATATTTCAGGGTTCTCTTTAAAAGGCAATGTATATAAATATATATATATTTCTCTATTGAATTAGCTTAATTTACTAGAGTGTAAAACATTAGATTCATATGCCTCATCTTTTTATGGTGATAATTAAAAAGTCATAGATATTTTTCCATTTTCTGAAATGTATAAATGAATATATGAAATATCTTATTTCCAAAAACTTAAATCATTTCATGATATGGCTAAGTTTTTAGGGATGTTTCTTTTCCAGATTGATTGTCTGTCATTAGTAGTGAAGAACAAACAAGTCTTGCCTTGTGAAATTCCAACATCTTAAAGTCTGGATAAAGTGTCATTGTTTGGAGATTCTTTTTTTTATACCTAAATTGCTTTAAAAATCAAACTCTCCTGGCAGTTAAAAATATTGTATATGTAAAAATTCTATATATACACAATCATGTAAGTTGTGTAAATGAGGCGGAACTGACAGGATATCTCACTTTATGGAATCTTCTCATGGAATGTCAATTATTTTTCACATCAATATTTTAAATGTCATCTAACAGATTAAAATAAATCAATGTGCATTTTGAGTAGTGGAAGTGACAGGAAAGGGAAAGAACAAAATCTAGTGAGCTCAAAATTGTGTCATAAGATACTTTTATAACTGTATGTTTTCATAGCTCTTGAAGCTTCTTGGTTCTCATATTCATCAAGACCCTGAGACAATAACATTAAATCAGGTCAAGAGGTGTATACAGTATGTGTATAAGAGAATGGCATATGGCTTAACTTCCTGACAAATGCATCTGTGTGTAAATACTTCTTATGAGTTCATATTAATTTGTATTACTGTGTTTGCATAAAGTTTGCACCTTGGTCTTTATGTAAGTTTTATATTCCCCACAGCATTTAGCAAGCACATAATAAATGCTTATAGTTCATGGGTGAAAAAGATGAACTTTGCTGCTTCAGTTTCCCATGTCTCAAAGTCATTCTTTGCTTCTCACCACCAGGCCTACCCCTTATTGTAGTGTCTTCCTCTGAGTTGGGTGCATCTTGGTCGCTGCTCATACTCAGGACCAGAACCTTATTTTGCTCTACAAGGCAGATCCATCCTTTGGCTTGCCAATATGGCATGTGTGCCTTCTGTTACTGCTACCATTGCTTCTTCTCTCCACCTCTGAGTGCCATCATAAGTATGGGATAATAAGACCATTAGAGGAATAAACACAATTTGTGTACTTTTTCCCTTCTTTGTTGGCATGGATAATAAAATGAACTTGAACTCTCACCTAAGACTGACTAAACCACTAAAAACCAAAGTGATAACATGAGAATGAACAAATCCAGCCCAGAGAGGTGTATTTCCAGTGTGGAACAGTTTGGAACCAAGTGTGAATATCCAGAGGCAGTGCTTCCAACATATGCACATGAAGTGGAGGATGGAGGAAGGGTTATAGGATGCAAGAATTGTTGAGGAATCTTCCTGAGGTCAAAAAATGTTCCCAGGTGTTCTTTGTTTGAAGAAAAGACTCTTTTCTCACTAATGGTTTTATATATAATGTCTCCATTGTGGATGTGGACCTACTTTTAAAACAGCATATTTTTATATCCATTATCCTTCAAGATAATTTTTACCTGCAGATATGACCAAGAATTTATAACAAGTAAGAGACCAGTTGACTCTCAAATAACATGCTCATCTAGTCTCTGAATATCTTACTTCTATTTGGATTTCATCAGCCAAGTAGCAGTGTCTTAAAACTGGCAATGTAGCTGCAATTCTGTTGAACATATATTTCTATAGAAAATATTATGAATTCAAAAATGACATGTAGAGGTGACTGTCAATTTATCTTTTCTTTGAATGTAATGTGTATTTGTTGCTGTGTTTTAGAAATACCTAAGGAGGCAGGCTAATATAACCAGCAATAGCATTTATTGAATTCTTTGTCATAAGAACTGAAGGGTTACTATTATGTTCATTTTATAGATATATCCATTTAAATACAATAAACATTTAGTAAGTTTGCTAAATGCTGGCAGTGATACCAGATGAATAAAATGTGACTCTTACTGACTGGTGCACATTGATGGAGGGAACCCTGTAACATCCAGTGTCTGTATGGAGTGCTGATGGTGATGAATTCAGGAAGTTAAGAGATCATAGAGGAAGGGTAACTCACCTATAGCAGAAGGCTGGGGGATGAAGCAGCATCAGGAAGTCACCCTGGAGCAGGAGCAAGGGGGAAGAAGCTCCAGGCAGACATAACAGCTCAACTTGTCTGAGAACCATGTGTAACTCAACATTTCAGGGGTAAAGTGGACAGTAGACTTGATGAGAAGCAGAGAGCAGAGAGACTACAGGCACAATAAGAGGCCTATGTAGCCATGCCAAAGAATCTGGGCCCAGGGTAAATACATTGATTCAAAAGTGATTACATAAAGATTTTTACCCAGTTCTGTTTGACTTCAAAGTTCATGCTGTTTACACTAAATCATACTTACTTCATAGACATTCTTGAAAACTATTTACCAAAGATGTAAATCACATTGTAAGTGGAAAAAGAACACTACTAAATTGGAAAATATTCAAAATTCAAAAACATTATTTGGGAAAAAGCCAGTATTATTAGATTATTAATATTCTCTGAAGAACTTTGAGCCTTTTGATTAGTTACCTTTTACTCCCATAATCATACCATATTATGCATTCTGTTTCATTAATTATCATCAATTAGGTAGCGAACTGACTATTGTCTAATGCTGGGATTTCAGCTGGTGATAACTACACAAGAGATGTTCTGTTCTTTGAACATCTAGATGCAACCTTCGCAGCTGCCTGGCAGAGATGTGAATCTGAGTCCAGACCACCTCAAGGGCACCTCTGCTCAGATGCTTCTGCTGGGTGTGATGAGAGCAAATGTCTCTGCCTATCCTGGCACTGGAGACTGACACTTCTTGGATCGTTAGGGGAGGCCTACTTGCTAAGGATGACTCTTCTGCCCTTAAACCATTAACATTTCCCAAAAAGGAATGGGGACCAAGGACCACGCCCTCTGCCTTGTGTACAGTCCTGCTGCCTCAGCACATCTGGGAAGCTCCTCTCAGTGGCCCCATGCTCTATCTAATGTGAACTGTGTTCAGGCTTTTCGCTAGGTTGTTCAAATAAAGAGTCAACTGTAATCACTTGGTGCAGAGCAGAAAGCAGAAAGAGCATTTTATATTCAAGAATAAATTGCCTGAGCAGTAAATGTCACCAGGGTGAGTTCTATAACTGGAGACAGGAGAGAAACATTGGACAGTTAAGGAAACTCCAGGAGAGAAAAGGGGAAAAAAAGAAAGCCTGAGGGGGAAAAAATGAAAGAGCATACATTTATGGAGATTCAGAAAAATACTTCTGAGCACAATGGCACTGGTGGTGCTGGATGCTAATTAGTGCATACCCATACAGCAGGAAGGGCATGAGGGAACTAGTATTTTGAGAAAAGTTCACTTGAAAAACTCTATTTCACTTTCTCTTTAAAAACATATTGAGTGTGCTAATTCTTGTCTTAAGAACAGGGAATATATTCAATAAGAACAAGTGTGTTTTCTTAAAGTTCGTGTCTGTCCCAGGAGAGTGAGGAGCAAGCTAAGTACTCAGTCCAGTCCTGGGGTCAAGAATGGGAATGGATGCTATCAGGAGAGGGAAATAGGAGGGGCTTCAATAATTTTCAATTGTTCTTCACTGAGTAGCGGAACAAATGTTTGTTGTATTATTTCTTATACCTTTATGTATAAATATTATAAACATTTCATTACTTTTCAAAACAGTATCAGACTCGGGTATTTAGAGAAAGGAGAGAGCAAGCAAGAAAGAGCTCAGAGGGGAAAAGGGTAAGAAGAAGAGAAAATATAGAAGAAATAAGGCAGAAGAGAGAACAAGAGGAGAAGGGATGGTTTTGGACCTAGAGGTCACATTATACTGTTGGCTAGGGCTGTGGCCCCTGAATTATTGCTCTGATTGAACAGTTATCTAACCATTTCTCACCAACCATGAGGTTCAAGGAGCTTCTCATGTCATTCTGATATCTAAAACTTAGCCACAAAACAGCTTCACCAATTTAAAACAGTTCTTCCAATGGAAAGAAAAAAGAAGAATAAATGGACAATTGCAGTTCCCTCAAGAAGAAAAGGAAAAGCAAAGAGCACATATGTATGAATGAACCTAAAGCTGCTCTAAAGTACTCCCCTTTGGGGACAGAAGCAAATGCTTCAGCCCAGTTCAAAATGAAGTCATACATCCCTGCAGACTCTTTTTCTGCCATCACTGTACAATTTACTATACTTTACAGGCAAGTTGTCTGCATAGTTAATCTTCCTTTAGAGCATCTGGTATTTATCATCAGAAACAGATTGGTGAGAGGTTCTGGAGAAGCTCTTCATATATTGTGGATTTGAAATATTCCTTTCCTATTTCTTTAAAAGTTAAAAGTGCAACTGAGTTCAAGGAACTGTGTGACAATAGAGAAGAGGAAAGTTCATTCACACTTAGGACCTTCCTCATATGGCTTAAATGAATCAAAATCAGAGAGGTGAAAATAAAGGCCACTGAATTGTACAGCTCAAAGGGTTCTGAAAATCTTCTAGTTGGTTTCTCTCAGTTTCAGTATGTGGTAGGTAGCTTTCACAAGGAACCCAAGTCACAAGAGTTAAATCTAAATTAGAAGTTGAAAAGTCATTCAAGATTACTTTAAGGTTTATTTATTTTTTTCCACATGGAGAGAAATGGCAATTTTTTAGGTTTTCCATTTAAGAGAGATAATGAAGATGCTGTTATAGTTTGGACATTTGCTCCCAGAATTCATACATTGGAAGTTTGATTCCCATCTCAGGGGTGTTGGGAGGTAGGGCCTGAAGCAAGGTATTTGGGTCATGCAGGTGGAGTTTCGATGAGTGGGATGACATCTTCATCACAGGTGGATTAGTAGTTACCTTGAGAGCAGATTGCTATAAATCAAGTCTGCCCCTCATGGTTTGTCTCTCCCACATGAGCTTGTATTTTTACCTCCTGCAAGGTTATAACACAGCAGAAGGCCCTGGCCAGGGGCCACACTATACGCCTATACATGTGGACTTCTCAGCCTCTAGAAATGTGAGCTAAATAAACTTTTCTTTATAAATTATCCAAGCTTTGGTATTCTGTTATACCAACAGAAAATGGACTAAAACAGAAGCATAAATGAAAATATTCAGATTCTGTAAGTGGGATCAGCACTGCATTTAACTGGCTGGGGAGGTGAGGACCAGCAGGAACTGCCACATGTTGGAGACATGACCATTCCTGATGTTCATTCTAGAGATGCAAATCTGGGTCTCACCAGACCCAGGCCTTTGTAGTATGCTGGTTTGGATTCTTGTTGTTTCCCATCTGCTAGAGTCTCTTCTGATATGGTCTGGGGACTTGATTTAGAAATTCAGAAAACTCCAGAAACAGACTGTCTTAGTTACTTTTCTCATTGCTGAGACAAAGTACCTCACACTCAAAGTTAAAGGAGGAAAGGTTTATTGTGGATCACAGTTTGTAGAGGGTTGAGTTCATAGTTGGCTGGCTCCAAGGCAGGATGGCATGGTGGATGGAAGGCAGCAAAGCAGCAAAGTAGTGAATCAGCAAGTAACTGGCAGCTGTACTCTTTCTGTCCCTTATAGTCTATCCAGGCTATTTGCTCACACCCAGGGTGGGGCACCTTTAATCCTAGCATTGCACCATTAATCCCAGCATCACATCTTTAATCCCATCATCACACACCCTAGGTCCAGCCAACTCTGAAAAGCCCCACCTATGACCACTTGAGGCTTAGGGAAGACATCTAGATTCAAGCCATAACACAAAGAAATAAAAGATTTGAGAATGTTTATTTATTGTGAGCAAAGCTATAATTTTTAACATTCTGCTATCATGAAAAATGAGAAAAAATTTTTAAAATGAGAGCTTAGAGAATAACATTAATTAGGCACTATATTCATGTAGAACAGTTGTAGTTGATATACTTTGGGGGCAGGGTGGACTTTTCTTGTTTTATTTTTCAACTTCTTTTGTGAAAATTTATTTTAGTGCCTCATTGTCACTAAAGAGAATAGCCAAAGAGCATTGTAAATGTCTTTGTTTTTACAAAGACAAAATATTCTCCAGCTTTCCACATATTGGGAAAAGTAATAGATATAGGTTTCTTAAAATTTAGCAGATTGTAGTGCCACATGTAATAAAAATAAGTATAGTTAAAGGATAATTTAATTAGTAAATTTGCAGTTAACCTGAATGAACTATCCTTTTCATTTAATTCACCAGACCTGACAATTTTGTGAATAAATTTGTTTGCTCCTAATACATTTTAATATACCAAAACCACAAAACATCTTAAACTTTGTAAAGAGAGTGTGGCACAGAAAAATGAATCTTTGATATGAGTTCCAGAGAATTGGGGTGGGGCTGGTTTCTGCCATATGTGGGCCTGATGAATTCCCTTCACTTCTTTGCATCTTAGTGTCCTGTTTCCTTGTAAAGCGGACACTGATCTCTCTTACTCCTGATTGGTGGGGCCTTAGGAGACCTAGCAGTGTGATCATAACCTCATATGCAAACAAGTTTATGCTTTGTTTGTGGCATTGTTTTTAAGGTGGGGCATGCATTCTAGGTTTTCTGAAAAGTAATTGTTTCCATGAAAGGAGTTGAGAAAGCTTTTTTTTCTTCAGAGCTAGAAAACATCAAGAAGTTTCATTTTTCCCAACTCTCCTTTGCTTTACTTCTGTTTGGAATAGACCCCTTCCCTTGGATTCTCTTGCTACTCACAGTCAAATTGGACATTTTCCATTACTAGATATCAACATTGCCTGCTACCAGATCCCACAGGAGTGACAATGTCTGAGATGGGAATGACCAAGGAAGGAGTCTCACTACAATTGCAAGAGCTGGCTTAGAATAAAGAGGAGTGGGGATGATGTGACTGGATACCAGGAAGGCCTTAAGCTTATTTGCTCTTATGAGTTTTACAGACATATACATTAGTACGGTAAAATGGACTAAGAATTTTAAGTGATTTTTTCTGCTATTTAATGTCAGTTTTGCCTGTCTCAGCTGTATCCACCT